TCGCGTGTCCCCTCTTCTCTCCTCGATCGGTCTGATCGCGGCGCACCCTCAGACCTTGACCTTGTTGACGGCGGCAAAGAGGCGCTTGAAGAACTCGGCAGAGAGCTCGGCCTGGAAGCTGAGGAGGGCGAGCGAGCGAGACTCAGCACGACCGGCGACCGATGCTCACACGCGGAGAACTACGAGACGACAGAGATGGTAGACGCACCGCATGTACTTCTGCAGCTCGGCCGGCAGGACCGTCGCGAGCGCAGCGTCGCGCTCAGGGTCGACGTCTGGCTGGTAGCCCACCGTCCCGTCGGCGTGGAAGTTGAGCTTGAAGTTGAGCGCTGTGCGGGATTGTGTGACCAGTCAGACTGAGTGACCGAGAGATCAGGGAAGGAGCGGAGACGCACAGCCCGTCGTGCCCGCGCAGTCGCTCAAGACGCAGGTGTAGACCGCGCCCGCGTCGTCTTGCTTGACCGAGTGCACGGCAAAGCCCGTCAGGTCCTCGTTGAGGTTGAGGTGGGACGTCAGGCGCTCGTTCTCGTCCTGTAGCTTGGCGAGTGCGGCGCTCGAGCCCGACGAGGCGGCAGGGGCAGCGCTGGTCGAGGCGAGAGAGGACGAGGAAGGGGTGGCCTTGAGCTTCTGCTGCAGCGACTTGGAGTGCGCGACCTCGGCAGAGAGCTCGGCACGCGCTGTCGACACTGCGGGCCGTGCACGAGCGTGAGTGACAGCGCGCGAAAAGAGGCACGCAGAGGAAGGGGGCGGCGCACCCTCGGCCCTCAGCTCGACAAGCTCCTTCTCCGCCACAGCCGTCGCCTCCTTGACGCGCCGCGCCACCTCGCGCTCCCACTTCTTCTCCCTCTCCGCCGCGTCCTTGTCCGCACGTGCCTGCTCCTCCCCTCGCAAGCGCTCGACCTCGTCTACGCGCGCTGCAAGCGCCGCGTTCTCCCGCTCGAGCTCTTGCACGCGCAACGACTCGAGGCGGGCGGCTTTGCTGCGCGGCGAGGCGAAAGCTGTTTCCTGCAGCGATGACACCTCGGAGCGGAGGGCGTCGTTCTCGGCCTTGTAGGCGGCGATCGTGTTGACGGCGGCTGTTTGCGGGCGACACGCAGCAGTGTCAGGGACCCGTTTGAAACGATCCGCAGAGGAGTGCATGAGCAGAGGCGCGCACCTTGCTGCCGCTCGTCGGCGATCTCGCGCAGGCGCAGCTCGGCCTCCTCGGCTCTCGTCGAGCGCAGACTCTGCAGCTTCTTATGAGCAGCCTGCATCTCGGCGAGTGCTTTCTTGGTCTGCATAGCGGTGAGCGCGTCAGGGTGAAGGCAGTGCAGAAGAAAGCGGAGGGACACACGCACCACCTCGAGCTGCTTCTCGAGCTTCTTCTCCCTCGGCGAAACGCCCTCGCCTGGCACCGACAGCTCGTCCATCCCACGAGCGAGCACATCGTCAGTGTCGTCCGGCGCCGCAGCCGCCTTGCCTCCCTTCTTGGCCGCCGGCGCCGCCTTCTTCGCCGGCGCAGCCTTCTTGGGTGCGGCCGCCTTCTTACCACCGCGTCCCTTAGGCGCAGACGCGTGCTCCGCCTCGGACTCGCCCATGCCCTCAAACTGCGTCTCGGCGACCAGAATCGTCTCGTCCTCCTCGGCGCCGCCCTGGTCGCTCTCGACCTCGTCGTCGTCCTCGAGCATGAGCTCCTCGTTGTCGCTGGCGGCCGTCGCAGCCTTCTTCGCGCGGGCACCCGTCGAGCGCTTGGTGCCGGCTGCGGACTTCTGCGCGGCAGGCTTGCGGGCGCGAGCGCTGCTCGACGAGGACGAGGCCTTGGTCGAGCCTGCAGGGGAAAGGAACGGGTAGGGCGCGTAGCGGTAGTCAGCGTCCATGTGCGCGTGTGTGGGTTAGAGTGTGGAGCAGATCAGAGCGCACCTGCTTCGGGTGCACGGTTCTCCTTGTCCATGCTGACGCCGAAGGGAGGAGCGAGCGGGCGCTTTGTTGATGAGGAAGAGGGCGCGGGGTGGCTCGGAGGGTGATGGGCGATGCGCGACTGGGGGTATGCACGCGTTCAGCCAAGCCAAGAGTTCCGGGGCAGCAGCTTAGTGCAAGCCAGGTGGCTTTGCAGAGTGAGCGAGATGAGCAGGTTGAGCGACGCAGGTGCCCGCGACTCGACGCGACAGGCCAGCTTCGGTGCGCGTGCTTCCGGGCGGTGAGAGGGAGGGAAGGGGTCGAGGCCCGTTTTTTTACAAGGCGGCGGCCAGCGACTTGAAGCACAAAAGGGCGCGCTCCTCGCATGTCCACCACCTCCTCACCCTCACCTCTGCGCGCTCGCCCTCAAGCTGCGCTCCCACATCCTGCTTTGGCACGCTGTCGTCGGTCGACCCGCTCAGGCATCGCTCTCGCCTCTCTCACTCGCATTTGCCCCCGCCTCACCGCCCGACATTTCTTTCTCGGTGAGTCCTCGCTCCTCCTGTCCTCGCTCGCACGCACACACGATCCGGAGTTGGCCGGGCATGCTCGAGTACGGCATCTTGAGGAAGGAGACGGCACTCGGCAGTCGCGTGCGCTTGGGCGTGATGCTTCGTACTTCTCTTCCCCATCTCATCGACCGTGACGAGACCTCGAAGAGCGTCAGGGCCATCCCGCGCGTCCCATGTGGCCGTGGCTGGTGCCCTGCACGTAACATTCATTTTTTATACTTGCCAGTAGCCCTTGTCTGATCCCTCGCACCGACTGCCGCGCCCCGTCCTCCCTCCCTCGTTCGGGTGCCCCTCGAGCTCGCCCTCAGCCGTCTCCGGAGTCGTGTGTGCACTGACTGCAGCCCCGTTGCCAGGAGCTCGTCACTGACACACCCGTTGCACGCGACAGATCCTCGCTTCTCTCACTTGCCCGCAGCTTTGCTCTCGTCGCCGTGCCCGCCTGCTCGCTCGCTCGGTCAGTCTCGTCCTCCTCCCCCCTCCCCCTCCGTCTGGGCCACCCGCGCGCACACACGCACACACGCACGCTCGTGCGCCTCGTCAACATGATGAATTATCCGACCATTCGTTCGTAGTTTCCTCTCGACGGACTCTGTCACGGCGCTGCGCTAGGCCCCCCTCCGGTGCCCTCGAGGTAACAGCCCCGGCCAACCCACCTCTCCCTCGCCTCGCGCCCCCTCGCACGATCACCTCGCTGCGCCCCTTCCCCCCCTTCGTCGCTCGGATTACCCCTCGGGGGAAACGGACGGCGCCGGGGTGGGATGGGACGCGGCGGGTCGCTGGACGGGCGGGGGATCCGGCACGGGCGGGTCGCGGGAGGAGCCGGGGTGTGGAGGGCGTGGTCGTCTGCCCGCTCTTTCAGGGCGTGGCGGGGCGCAGCGTCTTCCGTATGTGGGCCATGAAGACGTCTGACCCCTTTTCGAGGCGCCCTGCGCGTGTGTGTGTCGGCGCGTCCGCGCGTGGTGGTCGACCACAGTCTTCGTCGTCTTGCGCACTCGCCGCTGACCTCCTCGCCCGTCGCCGCCGCAGATTCTCTCCTCTCTCGTGTCCATGGTAGCTGTCCGTTGCTTCGCAATGCATGCCTTCTTCCCGTTCGATTCTGTCTTTCGTCGTCGGGACCGTGAGACAAAAGATGGCGCCTTGCTTGTCGCCCGCGTTCTGCCCGTTTCCTTGTCTCCTCGTGAGCAGCGTCCTTCATCAGCGTGGTGTCTGGCGCACGTTGAGCAGAGCTCGTCCTGTCTGCGCGGCACGCTCGAAGCTGCCATCCCTGCTCTCCTGCGCGGCTCGGGCTTCTCTGCTGCTGTTGTCTTGTCCACTCAGAACCACAGAGATGCAGGCACACTTCGCGGCGGTGCAGCCACAAGGAGGAGAGCGCCTGTGTTGCCCCGCAGATGCGCCAGAAAGGGCCCGTGCGAAGAGGCGTGAGAGGTCCGCTTTGACCCCCAAGGGACATGCCCGCGAGCCTGGAAAGCCTCGGGCTCTCCTCGCGTCCACACAAGAGCAGACGTACGCTAGTATTGCCCACTGACGAGAGAAACATCTGCGAAGCATCGCAGCGTGGAGCGCTCCACGGTCGCAGGAAGCGGGAGGTCGAGGCGGGGGATGTCCTGCATACGCGTGCAAAGCAGAGGCGTCGATCGCGCGACACGCCTGCGCTGTGATCGCGTTGGGTTAGCCAGGCAAAGAAGGTCGAAGCTGCCTCAGAGGGTCGCTGAGCGCGCAGCCGGGTCGCTCGCGCTGATCGTCCCATCGAAGCACGCAAGTGTCCGAGCATCGCGGCCCTCGTTTTGAGGCTAGGGAGAGGAGAGCCCGAGGGCAAGCGGAAGGGTGCTCGCCCGTCCGTGTTGCAGGTGCAAAGGGGGTGCTTCGAGGCGAGGGTCGCCGAGAACAAGCGACGTCGAAGAGCTGCGCCGATCTGGCTGCAGGCGTTACAGATGCGTCAGCTTGTGCGCACCTCCCCGTGCACTGCTGGAGCTTGAGGGCCCGGGCGTGGAAAGCCAGCCCTCGTCCCCCTCCACGCTCCCCCCCCCCGTGCGGCGCTCGCGCCCCTCCCTCGGCATCCGTCAAGACACCCGACCAGGAGCGTTGTTGTCTAACACAGAGGAGAAGTGCCGGTCGCTCATGCGCGGTCTGGTAAGTCTCGCCACCTGCATCTGACCGCTACCGAGGAGAAAGAGACTGGGAGTGGGAGACCGAAAGCCTGGAGGGGCGAACAGCCCGGCGGGCGGCGGGTTACGGCGGCTCGAGGTGGGTTGATGGAGGCTGTAGCGTTGCCCGCGGGCTCTCGAGGAAGCCGTCATCGGAACGCGAGCGGAGTGGTGGGGCACAACCGAGGTAAGAGGCCCGAGCGCCTGAGGGCCGCACGCGATCGAGTGATGTGCTGACCCCGATGCGCTGTTTCGGGGAGGCTCAGCGGGCGCTGCAGGTGGCCAGGCCGCTCGCTCCGAAAGCTTTGGCAGGGGGATCGCGGGGTGAATGTCGAGACGAGCAGGCGTGCTCGCGGGCAAAAAAGTCGTGAATGTGTTAGGTAACAAGCACCGCAGCATTCATCAAACAGGCCGTGTAGTTCAGCGGTTAGAATGCCCGCCTCCTATGTGGTAGCGGGTGGTCGACGGTTCGATCCCGTCCTCGGTCGTTTCTTTTTGTGTGGCTCGAAAGCGTCGTTCCCTTTTTTGTTTTCTTGCACGCGCTGGGACCCATCTGTAGGCGGCGCGAAACAGCCGCACTGCTGACCGCGTTCACAAGCCGAGAGCAAGCAGGCTCGCACCTGGACCAAGCCGGCGCCTCGCTGCGGTTGAACAGCCCTGAATCTCCGTCTGCCGCGTTTCGAGCAGCTGCACGTGTCAGCAACACCTGGCAGAGGTGGCAGGGGGCGCTCGTGCTCGATACTCCACCGAGACTCGGAGGGGGTCCGAGCGCCTCTCGGCTGGAAGTTCCATCCCGATTCCCGTCCTCCGCGCGCCTGCGCAGGCGCTGCGTTCCCACGCGCTCTCGGGTCACGAACTTTCCCTTCTAGACATCAGCACGCCCTGCTGGCCGTGTGAACGCCCACTGCTACCGCTGTGCAGCCGTGACAAGGTAACTCTGGCTCACTCCGAGCTCTTCGCGACTCGGAGCGCGCACTGTTCGTCTGACCCAACAGGTAGAACGGCAGCGGCAGAGGGGTTGAGATTCACGGGCTCTTTCGCCGAGAAGGACGGTCACGGCGGCCAAGCCGAGCTCTCTCGCGCAGCCCACGAGATGCTCAAGCGGCTCGCCCGTGTTCTCGAAGAGCGTGATCACGTAGAAATGCAGGTCTAGCAGCAGTCTCGTCTAGTATTACGACAGGAGAGGAGGCGGAAGAACGGTCAGAGGGCGGAGGAGGGAGTGCGCGAGTACGAGGGAGGGTGCCGAGAGCTGGGGGGCCCAGGCGTGAGGGACGCAGGTCTTCTCTGACCGTGCTCCTCTCACCCCTGCGCAAAGCTGGAGCGTGCGCGGAGAACGGGCCCGTACTTCATGATCAGCTGCGGTGGAGGAGGAGAAGGAGGAAAAGGGACGAAGGGTCAGTCTCGTTGCTGCGCGGTCTAGCGAGAAAGGCGCAACGCACATAGAGTAGGGGCATCATGAGGATTGAGATGCCCGCGAGGAGCGTCGAGCCGCCGCCGATGGTGAGCGCGTTGAAGTACTTCGTCCCAAACAAGGGGAAGACCGAGGCGAACGTCGAGCGGAACAGGTCGTTGCCGGCGAGGATCGACGCCGCGTAGCGCGGGTAGCTGTTGAGTGGTGGACGAGACATAGGAAGGAGGGAGAGACAGGAAGGTGGAAGAGAAGGGAGCAAGGACGAGGCGGGAGGGAGTCAGTCGGGGTGTTCCGACGCTTGACGCGACCGAACGGACGCTCACCTCATCGAGACGTAGACCATGATGCCCTGGAACGCCAGGAATATACCGGGGAGGTAAAGGCCTGCGCCGATGACCGGCACAATCCTGCAGCAGGAGGGAAAGGAGGGCGGGCGCCGGCAAAGGGGTCAGTCAGGCTGCGGTACGCTTTGAAGTCAAGTGCGGCGGGACGCACCAGTGCACACTCTCGCGTGCAGACCAGCCAAAGAGCAGCAGCGAGGCGGGGATGAAGGGCGCGGCGTAGAGCGCGATTTCGAGGCGCGCCTCGGGCTGGAGGTTCGGGTCGCGGTCCGCGCGCGGGTTCATGTGGTACTTCTGGTAAAGCACGTAGAAGGTGAACTGTGGGACGAATGCGTCAGCTCCGAGACTCGGGAGCCCAGGCCAGGGCGGAAGGGGTGCGACGGACCGTGATTGCGGCGGAGACGACAAAGGCGAGGTACGGCAGGCCCCCGATGCCAAGGCTGAAGTGGTGGATCTCGTTGAACGTGAGGCTGAAGCTCTCGAACCACAGGTAGAAGATGGCGTAGACGAGGGCGATGTAGCTGCGGCGGGAGGAGCGAGTCGAGGGGGAGGAGAGGGAGAAACGGAAGAGGAGGGTCAGTGCGGGTCCGACACCTGCGAGGCGGCAAGACAGGCGACATACCCATGTGCGACTGCCAACGACGGCTCGAGTGCAAGGCGGAACGCGCGGCTGATCGTCTCCTTGAGCAGCTTGCCGAGCCTGTCGTCGTCGCCCTGGTCGACCTCGGCCGGCGCCTTGAGCAAGGGGTTGCCCGTCAACTTGCGCAGGCGCTCGGCGCGGCGCACGAGGACGGTCGACTCCATCGTCTCGGGCAGGAAAAAGAAGAGGGCGACGAAGGCGAAACCGGAGATCCAGAGGAGCTCCAGAAGCGGCCAGCGCCAGTTCTCGCCTTCGGCCGCAAAGCCGCCGATGACGGGGCCGGCAATGGGTCCGCAGACGGCGCCAATGGCTGCAAGAAGGGAGGGGTGAAGGAAGGGGTCAGCCGAACGCGCGAGCAAAGGACAAGAAGGGCTGAAGAGAGCGAGGCACGCACACCATGCGCCGACGGCATATGCGAGCTGCCGAGGCGGGTAAATGTCGGCCATGCTCGCACCACCCGTCGCGAGGGCGGGCGAGCCTACGAAGCCCGACAAGAAGCGGAAGACGAGGACGGTGGCGACGTTCTTGGCGAGGACCTGAGGGATCTGGAAGATGACGAACAGGGCGAGGCCGATGATGTAGACGGGGGTGCGACCCCACCGAGGGATCTCTTGCATCGGCGACAGGAGCATCGGACCGACGCCGTACGCGGCAACGAAGAGGGTGAGGCCGCTCGTCGCGCCAACCTGGCCGATGCCGAATTCCTCCATGATGCCCGGGATCGAGGGCGTGTAGATTGCGCTGCCAACATAGACGGAGAAGGTGAGGAGCATGACGAGCGACGCGACAAACAGGCGCTTGCGAGGCGACCAGTTCCTGCGAGAGCGCGAGCGAGAAGCACAGTCAGTCACAGTCCTCGCTTCTGCGTACCGCCTGAGCGCGCTCGTCTCGGTCTCGAGGCACGACCCGACGGGAGAGAAGACGCACAGAGGGCGGTCGGGGTCGTTCTCCTCCCAGTCGACGAGCCACGGGTACCGCACCGACGGCGGCAGCGCAGGCGGAGCTTCGACGTCTTGCAGCTGCTTCTCGACGTCTCCCGCCTCACTGCCGACCTTCTTGTGCTCCTGGCAGACGCCTGGCGCGTCGACGAGCGTGACGGCACCGCTCGCCAGCGTCGGCGCCTGCGAGACGGTGCGCGGCAAGGGCGAGTCGGCGGCGGCGCCGGGCGCGGTTGAGTGCCGGGGCAGGTACTTGTCCGGGATCACGTAGTCGCTGCGCTGGTCGGGATAGGGCAGGAGGCGACCATTCGACGCCCAGTTGACGATCTGGCCAAAGGTCGAGTCGCGAACGAGGTCGAGCATGGCGGACGGGCGCGGATGGGGCGTTGGAGGCTCTGGAGGCGGAGGAGAGTGGGACACAGAGAACGAAGAGCAAGAGCAAGGGACGGCAGAGGCGAGAGAAAACGCCGGCTGGGCCCAGGTGGAGGCTCACGCAAGTGGAGCGAGCTGACCGTGAAAGCGTTACCAAGGCCTGACTGAGCTTGTCCGAGCGCCGGCCCATAATGGCGTCGATCGCTCGCTCACACATCGCAGCTGCCGTCGGACAAGCCGGGAAGGCGGAGGAACGGCGGAGGCCCAGGAGGATGACATGAGCGGATCCTCGGTCAGCTTCTCGAGTGCGATCGCCGTTGCCATAAGCGCGGACCAGCAGCGGGACGCGCTCCACCTGAGGACGCGAACGGGTTGCAACAGGAGAACGCCAGGTGTCGAGAGCCAACGAGCAGCCAAGGTGGCGCCCGTGCGCAGTGCCGGACGAGCAAAATCACCAGCGAACAAGCTTCGATCTCTCGCTGGCCAGGCCTCCGTCGGACCATCGAGGGCGAAGGGAGATGTCTATGCTGACACGGTTCTTGGTACTACTCAAACGAGAGATCAGGGGCGCAACGGCGCAAAATGGGAGGATTGAACGACAGTGAAGAGAGAAAGGCGAAGGGTGGTGATGCGGAGGGATGAAGGGACAACAGTGCAAAGGCGGACATCTTGAGGCGAGGGAAGGAAGGAGAGAGACAAGTCTGTGCAAGCGGAGAGAGCCACAGTCAATGCGAGCCCCTCAGAGAAAGCGAGGGGAGAGAAAGCGGGCGCACCTCTAAGCCCGGAAGCTCTGCGGCAGGACGTCGCTCAACGCGAGGCCGCTCGAGCCGCGCATGTCGATCTCGGCGTTTGACGATGGCTTGCTGGCGACGAGCGGAGGACGCTGCGGGGCAGGCGAGCGCGTGCGCCGCCTGTTACCCGAGACAGAGACTGGCGCGGCGTCGAGACTCGAGGCGCGGTGCACACCGAGTCGAGGGCCAGGTTGGAAGGACGTCGAGTGTTCGGTAGGGCTGAGGCGAGGCGAAGGAGGCGGGGTCCCCTCGGGGGTCGTGGCCGGCGAGCGGGACCGGGGCGAGAGCGAGCGGAAGAAGAGGGAGGTGCTCGCGCGCTTGCGCGTCTTGGGCGCGCTGAGGTGCGCGTGCACGTCTGCCGGTGTCGGCACCACGTGCAGATCGGGCATCGAGGGCGTCGTGTCGCCCGACGAAGACGACGGGCCAGAGGCATGCGAGAAGTAGTCGCGCCCGTCGCTGGCGACTCGGCGCGCGGGCAGAGCGGGCGCGGCCGACGGCGAACGAGGCGGGTGCGAACAGGTGGCGGCCCGGTGTCGCAAGGCCTTGATGGGACACGGGCCCTTGCGCGACGCCGAAGAGACGGCGGCGGTTGTGGGGATCTCGGTCGACGGCGGCGACGGCAGCGACTCGCTGTGGTCGTAGGTGACGGGCGACGCGACCACGCCAGCCTCGCCCTTCTTGGCGTGCGCATGCTCGTGCCCGTGCCCGTATCCATGCGCCAGCGCGTGCGGTGTCATCCAGCGCAAACCGTGCGTGAGGACGACGAGGCCGGCCTTCACCCCCTTGGCTTTGCCGGCCTTGGCCCGCGCCTCCATCGCCTCGGCCGCATCAGCGTCGACGAGCGTGTCGGCCTCGCTCGACGTGTCGTCTGATCCCTCGCGCACCGGCGATGACCGCCCGTCGCGTCCTCGTGCCTCCGTCGCTGCCTCGGCCTCCTCTTCCTCCTCCTCGCGCGCCTCGAGCACGCCGTCGAGCTCGTGCACCGGGTAGTCACC